GGGATGCCACCAGCTGGGATGCCACCAGGACCAGGGATGCCACCACCAACCGGGATGCCACCAGCTGGGATGCCACCAGGACCAGGGATGCCACCAGCTCCAGGGGTGCCACCAGCTGGGATGCCACCAGCTCCAGGAATGCCACCACCAACTGGGATGGCACCAGCTCCAGGGATGCCACCACCAACTGGGATGCCACCAGGACCAGGGATGCCACCAACTGGGATGCCACCAGCTCCAGGGGTGCCACCAGCTCCAGGAGTGCCACCGGGACCAGGGATGCCACCAGGACCAGGGTTGCCACCAACTGGGATGCCACCAGCTGGGATGTCATCAGCTGGGATGCCACCAGGACCAGGGGTGCCACCAGCTGGGATGCCACCACCAACTGGGATGCCACCAGCTGGGATGCCACCAGGACCAGGGATGTCACCAGCTCCAGGGATGCCACCACCAACCGGGATGCCACCAGCTGGGATGCCACCACCAACTGGGATGCCACCAGCAGCTCCAGGAGTGCCACCAGGCTCAGGGATGCCACTGGCTCCAGGAATGCCAGCACCAGCTGGGATGCCACCAGCCCTGGGGATGCCACCACCAACTGGGATGGCACCAGCTCCAGGGATGCCACCAGCCCAGGGGATGCCACTGGCCCCAGGGATGTCACCAGCTCCTGGGTTGCCACCACAACTGGTGCCCACCGTGCTGCCACCAGCTCCGGGGATGCCACCAACCATGGGGATGCCACCTCCATCCGGGATGCCACCACTCTCTGGGATGCCACCAGCTCCAGGGATGCCACCGCCCATGGGGATGCCACCAGGTGTAGGGATGCCACCAGCCCAAGGGATGCCACCACCACCGGCTCCAGGGATGCCACCAGCTGTGGGGATGCCACCACCACCACCATCTGCAATGCCACCGACCCAAGGGATGCCACCACCACCATCTGAGATGCCACCAGCCACGGGGATGCCATCAGCTCAAGGGGTGCCACCACCTGGGATGCCACCACCATTTGGGATGCCACCACCAGCTCCGGGGGTACCACCAATCATGGGGATGCCACAGGTCCCAGGGATGCCACCACCATCTGAGATGCCACCAGCTCAAGGGATGCCACCAACCACGGGGATGCCACCACCCTCGGGGGTGCCACCACCTGGGATGTCCCAACCATCTGAGATGCCACCAGCCTTTGGAGTGCCACCACCTGGGATGCCCCAACCATCTGGGATGCCACCAACCTCTGGAGTGCCACCACCTGGGATGCCCCAACCATCTGGGATGCCACCAACCTCTGGAGTGCCACCACCTGGGATGCCCCAACCATCTGGGATGCCACCAACCTCTGGAGTGCCACCACCTGGGATGCCCCAACCATCTGGGATGCCACCAACCTCTGGAGTGCCACCACCTGGGATGCCACCACCATCGGGGATGCCACCAGCTCAAGGGATGCCACCACCCACGGGGATGCCACCACCCTCGGGGGTGCCACCACCTGGGATGTCCCAACCATCTGAGATGCCACCACCCTCAGGGGTGCCACCACCTGGGATGCCACCACCATCTGGGATGCCACCAGCCTTTGGAGTGCCACCACCTGGGATGCCCCAACCATCTGAGATGCCACCAACCTCTGGAGTGCCACCACCTGGGATGCCACCACCACCATCATCTGAGATGCCACCAACCCTGGGGATGCCACCACCCCCAGGGATGCCACCACCCCCCTCTGAAGCCCCCTCCCC